CGTGTCAAAGTAAAACTAGAAGCCAACGAAATGGGGACTACGCCCCTTTTGTATCATATATTAAAAATTAAAAAATTGGCAATATTGCCCATATATTATCCGAATGAAACGAAATTTTGCATATTGTACTGTAATTTAAGTTATATATAGCGCCCATATATTCTTTCATCTTCGCAGCATATGAGCAATATTTTCATATATATTCTTCATATTAAATATCAAAACGTCAATGCTCATTAAATCTTCTTGTGATATACATATTCATGTTAATTACAAAAGTGTGTGTATATTTTAATATTGTTATGCATATATACATTATGGATAATTAAAAGTTAAGACAAAAAAAAATATTTTTACATGGAAAATCTTTGCCAACATCAACAGAACATGATTGTATTATATTCATTATGTCATTTAAATACATTGGAATTAACTCATATCTAACACTACAGCAACATACATAAATACATAGAACATGTACAAACATATTTGCCGGCTGTCGGTCCTGCATACATCTCCAACGAATGACCATTCATGTGAAGGAAATTGTTCTGATTCATCTAATAGTCCATCTCTCTCTAACGGTAGAATGGAGAAGAAATCATGAAAGTTGTTGCAATATTTCCACATACAAATGTTATAGTCAATAAATTACTAATGAGAACTATGACTTTTGAGCAGAGGAAAGTTAAAGCTAATTAACAAATCTACACATTGTATTATGTTCGGCAGTCTATTGCAAAGTCACATGAAGCACCACCGGGGGAAACAATGTTGTTAAAACTATGAATTTAAAACGAATGTAGATGGGTGTATATGTGTTCGAGTATTGAATAAATAATTTGTACGAGGTTTGTTGAAAAGTATGAGTCAATAATATTAGAATTTTTTTCATAAGGCTCCGCAAAAAAACCCTGCGACCTTAGTGTCACTATTTTCACTTTCTGAGTCGATTTATGCATATCCGCCCGTCTTTCTGTCCAAGTTAAATTGTAAACAAAGTACAGGTCGCATCTATTTGGCCCAAGGATAAACCCCATTGAAATTGGAAAAAATTGGTTCAGATTTAGATTTCCTATATACCTTTGGATTTGCACGAAATTTAGCATATCGTACTGAATAAAATCTATAATGATGTGGGTTAATCCTATATATATTCTATATATCTTTCGATTTGCACAAAATTTGGCGTAGCGTACTGAAATAAGTCTAGAATGATGTGTGTTAAGTTTTGTGAAAATTGTTTCACATTTAGATATAACTGAAAATTTATATATCGTCCGATTTTTGGTAAATAGTGCACAAAAGTCCCTATATATCCTTCGATTTGCAAGAAATTTGGCATACCGTACTGAATTGAGTCTAGAATGATGTGGGGCAAGTTTCTGAAAAATCGGTTCACATTTAGATATAACTCCCATATATATTTTCGTCCGATTTAAGGTAAATTGTGCACTAAAGACCTAAGTTTGCCCGATTGACAAACAATTTTGTACAATGTACCGATGTTGATATAAATTAATCTCTTCCAAATGTCGTTGAAATAGGTTCAGATTTATATATAGCTCCCACATATACATTCGTCCGATTTTAGGTAAATGCTGCACCAAACGCCTAATGTTCGTCCAATTCACAACGTATTAAATTGACACGAGAATGAAGTTATTGCGTTTGGTTGAAAGTGGTGCAGTTGCAAACATATCTACGATATATATTTCGAACGGGTGTTTGATATGAAATTGTGAGGATACCTATGTAGAATATCCCCAAGTGGTGAAAGGTATCAAATAGTCGGCCCAGCTCGGCTTTACTACTTTCCTTACTTTTTTTTATGATTTCTCAGACCCTTGGCCAAGTTTCTCTTCGATAGAAAAAAATTCTGGATTCTAGACTCAGTGTTTTTTTTTATAGAAAAATCAATGTTTTATATATATATATATATCACCGACGTAACCAGGAGGGCCAGGGGGCCCGGCTGGCTGATGTGCAAGATAACTCTCGAAGGGAGTAACCGATTTCCTTCAAACTTTGTACATCGTAAAATTTCTTCCAAACTTAAATCAAGCTACCCCACAAAATGGTCAACATTTTGATGAAAATTAATTTTATAATATAATGCGAACTGACTATCCGATTTCAACTAAACTCTGCAAACCTTTATATTTTATCGAATCCTGTATAATGTTGGAAGATGAGACTCATTAGTCCACTCATTCCAGTATCTCCCCTACATAGTGTCAATATTTCGAAAACTTGTAAATCTCATATGAAGCGAACGCAATAGCCAATTTCATCCAAGCTTTGCACAACACAATATTTTTACCAATCCTATCGGTCCTCTTCTTCTGGTACCTCTCACACAAAGTGTCAACATATTGAATATTCATAAATCTAATATAAAGCGAATGGAATGTCCGATTTGGTCCAAGCTGTGCACATCGTAATATTTCTTTCAAACTTAAATCTAGTTCGAATATGGGGAATATCGGTTCACTCCTTCTGGAACAGACCATCGGATTTGAACCAAACTTTGACACCCTAATATTTTAACTAAAGCTGTATAATGTTGCAAGATGGTCCACTCCTTCTAGCTCCTCCCCTACAAAGGGTGAATATTTTGAATGCTTTTAAATGTCATATGCTCATATCCATCAAGAACCGTGTGTATGCCTCCCCAATCTATTTTGGATAAAATTATTCATGTATCGCTATATTTTATGATGCATTTACTCAGGAATATGGCTTATAAATGTTTATATTTATATACAACATAAAGCGATTATACACGCGGAATTCTCATATTATGTATTTGCAGATGTTTCTATTTTCAAAGTACTTTTGACCGCAGTTTTATTGGACGGATTTGTTCTCAGTAGATTCAGCACGTAAAAAACTAAAATCACGCGGGGTTCAACCCAATAAATAGGTTTTTTATAAATATGTTCTTGAGATATACATCAATCGAAGTGAAATCACAAGTCCTACGATCCTATAATAAGTTTAGGGCTTCAACTAGCTCGTCCGAAAACAGGGAAATTTCGGCTTGAAAATGTCAGCATCCGGCTTAGTTGAATGCGGTGGAAATATCGAAAAATCATACATTAGAACTATATTGCCAATATGGTGTTCTTCAATTCAGTCGTTGAGCACAAGTCTGTAAATGGTGTATTTTAGTAATAATTTAGCAAAAGACAAAAACATTTTTGGCTTCAACATATTTTTACCCAATTTTACACCCTCCATCGTTGTATGTTTGTTTTCTTTTTTAAATAATCGTTTCTGACCCCATATAGTATATATATTCTTGATCAGTGTAAAATTATAAGACGATCTAGCCATGCCCATCAGTCTGTTGTTATCACTCTAGCATATGCAGAAACTGAGCTAGCTGTCCAAAAATTTGCACCGAAGTGCCAGAGCTATATCAGTTGACGTGTAGGCATATCCCCCATAAAAAAATAGTATGAAAACGGAAAAGCTCTCAATTTGTGAACGAATTTCCGTTATAAATCCTTAAAAGTCGTAGAACTATTCAATAGCTAACGATGGTGTAGGATAACGCGACAAAAATATTTTTTGGTTCTCAAAAAAATCTTGAGATCCTAGGCTCAGAGTTTTTGCTATAACAAAAATCTTGAGGGTCTAGGGTCATGTTTTATTCTATAGAAAAAATCCTGAGACCCTAGGATAAGGGATTTTCTATAGAAATAAAATCCTTAAATCGTAGGCTCAGTTTTTTTATAGCAAAAAATTCCTGATACGATAGGCTCAGTGAATAGTGTTCTAAACTCCGAAGGTATGTCCGATTACGACGAACTTTGGAATGCCCAATTAATTCTACGTATAATAACGTGTAAAATGTTTCGTTAAAATCGATTCAGATGTAGATATGGCTCCCATATATAATGTTTCAGTGAAATTGGTGCCGATTCATCTGAATGGTGCAACATATAGAAATAAAATCCTTAGATCCTAGGCTCAGTTTTTTTATAGCAAAAAATTCCTGATATTTTTGTGCATTAGTGCATTAGTGAGCCTACAATACAGGGCAATAAAATTCTTTTAAACAGAGTAATATTTAGATATATCTACTGTTAATAGTTTCGTCCGATTTCATAAAATACCTAATACTCAACGCTCCTTACAACTTAAATATTGCAATAAATTTTGCACATTATTGTATTTAAATGCTGCCAACATTATGACAATATAGTTCTTACAAAACCTATATGTTTTCTATGACTTTTTGCGCTTTGAACCACAAAATACATAAATTCTAGCTAAATGCAAACAAGACATATTCACCTTGTGTGTATATTGTGTGGTTGACTTAATTTAAGTAAAATAAATAATATATTCCAAAAGGCTTTCGAGATTTGTCAAATACATCAAAGGTCATTTGAATATAAACTAAATAAAGTACATATATATATATATATATACAGCAACGTACACAGGATTTCATTTCGGGGGGGGCCCGGTAGTACAAAATGAAAAAAATCGCTGTTGCAAACAAAATTTATAAATTTACGGGCCCCCCGGGCCGCCCCCCTGCGTACGTCCCTGTATATATATATATATATATATAATATATGTGACCACACAAATTCCAATAAACACAAACACCTTAAAATGTACTTGTACTAATAAATAACTTTTTGGTCAAACTTTTTTGTGGGTGCGAGTTTCCAAGTGTCCAGATGACTGTTCACATCATATACCTAAATTATTTAGAATCCATATATGTCATTTTATAAGTATATGTGTGATATACATAGACCAGTATAAATTTTGTATAAATTTAGTTTTTAAATGTTTTTAATTTTCATTACTTCTACCAAACGAAATATTAAAAAATAATTAAAACAGCAATGAAATTATTACCAAATAATGGCTGCAAAATTTATTTTCGTCCATCAAATGAAAATATTTACAAATTGTTTGCTACAATATCTATGTAACATGTTTCCACATTTCGTTTTATTTTTTTTTTTTTTTAGGCCCCAAAAACATGTCTGGCATGGTTCGTTACCCAATGGCGAACGTTCGATTGACACATATTGCGATGCCTGGCATAGTGGAGCAAGAGATAAAATTGGCTTTGCCAGCAATTTACTGGGCAACAAATTATTGGATCAGGAGCGACTAACGTGCGATAGTAAATTAATAGTACTTTGTGTAGAAGCACTATCACAGGACCGGCGGAAAAAACGAGATTTGAGTGACAGGTAAGTTAATGAAAATGTTAACAGATTGGTAGCTAAATCTAAGTACAATTCACACGATAGACCCAGTGTACAGTCTAGCAAATAATTTGTGTACAGATAAGTTTTTTAAACATCAAAACCATTTTAATGAACATATATTTTGCAAAGAAGTTTAGGTCTTTAATGTATTTCTGTTGATTTGGGAACGGTTTAAAAATTTCTGCTTGTTTACCTAAATTACGTATATGTACGATGTGTTCACTATGTGAGTTCACTAACCACAAAATCGATAACTTTTGTACATTGTAACCGACAGATGACCTATAGATACAGGTTAACATTTTGAAATTTTGATAAAAAGCGAAAAGCGCCAGCAAAACTAATTTAAATCAGAAGATGGTCAAGTGAAGATGCACCCGGCACAGGAAGGCTGGTCTTCAAAAATGTCGATAAAATCGGAGGAATAATCTAAAATTAACAAAATGGTGGACCTTTATAAAAATATTTTTGGAAAATCGCCGATTTTTTACCAAAAACCAAGTTAAAAAATAATGAAGATCTTCACCGATTGGCTTTATCCTAGTACATACGAGAACTATACACTCCCAGAGAAACGTTGCAAAATTTGGAACCGATTGGATTATTAGTTTTTGAGTTATCGTGTCCGCCATTCGCAAAAGAGAAAAAGGCGTTTAAATAAGCCCTTTAGCCGTCACTTGATGCTGACACAATAAATCGGCTATATCTTCAAGAGTTCTTGAGATTTACACTTGAAATTTTGTAGGGACATTCTTGAATTAGTGTAGATTCGAACTATTCGAAAAAAAAAAATTGACCCCGAGAATCCCCCTTAACTTGTTATTATTAATATGGTATTTTGAGAATTTTCGACACGTTTTTCAACCGAATTGGCTGTAATTTGGTATTTTCATTGGTCGTCAAATATCACAACCAAAAATTTTCAATATCGATTACCCTATGTAACGGGTTTCCTTTTAGTTGGTATTTTTATACCCTACACAACTATGTTGTCAGGGTATTATAGCTTTGTGCAGCCCCAAAAGTTTGTAACGCCGCGAAATATTGGTCATAGACCCACCTTTAAGTATACCGATCATAGCTAGTCATATCTCGACTAGCTGAGTCGATCTAGACATGTGTGTCCGTCCGTCCGTCCGTCTGTCCATTATAATTTGTAAACACGATACAGGCCACAGTTATGGACCAATCTTCACGAAATTTTGCATGTAGGATGGGTTCTGGCCAATGAAGACCCCTATTGTTTTTGGGAAAGATCGGTTAATATTTAGGGGATGAAATGGACCAAATACTAAATTTTTGTCGGTTTTTCTGGTCGCTCCACAGGCCGCAATAATGACCCGAACATCGTGAAATTTTGCATGGAGAAGGGGGTCGGGCCAAAGAATAAGCATGCCTGTTTTGATAAAGATCGGTCAATATTTAGCGGGTCAAATGGACCCTGACTTTTGTGTGAAAAATGACAAAAGTTGTATTCTATAGCGTATATATTTACCCCTGAAGGACATAGACCCGAAAAATTGATATTATATCCAAGAGGAGTGGTTGGCCTTTAAATTAAGACCAATTATATTGTCGCATGTGCTCTGATGTGGGAGTTACACCTAAATATTTACAGGTATCTCCGTATTTGTATGTTATTTAGTAACCCATTATCACTCTAGAGAGCCGAACATAGCGCTGATCGCTTTGAAATGTTTCATGAGGTTCCAGTTATGGTCAAGGACAACGCCTTTAATTTTCGGTGATGATCAGATAATAATTTTGGAATGAAGTGGAACGAAAACATAACCCACGGTGAAGGGAATCTGGACAATAGCTGTACTGAATACTCGTAATATTCGGAAAATATGTCAGTGTGAGGAAGAGGTGCTGTTTACCTCTGATCGGGCAAGAGTGTGCAAATATCACGAAATATTGCCCAGGCTCGGAATACACATCCGTAGAAAATTTGAGTTCAGTGGTAGTTGTGTAGGGTATCGTATGGTCGGCCCGTCCGACTATACTGCTCCGCTCACTGGTTAGAGTATAGATCATTTTTTTCTTATAAGAGTTTTCATCTTGAACACACCATTAATTTTAATTATTTAAAATATCATCCGTATGGTGGAGGCTATAACAAGTTTTGTCGGACGGAACATGTCTAATTATACCCTTCATCACACTGTGGTACAGGGTATTATGTCTTTGTGCATATGTTTGTAACAGGCAAAAGGAAACGAGATAGAGGCAAACGGAAACGAGATAGACACATTGTTCCTTTTGAGAATATGCATAGAATCACTTTCTGAGTCCAGTTATGCATGTTCGTCCGTCCGTCTGTCTGTCCATGTAAAATTGTAAACAAAGTACAGGTCGCATTTATGATACGATTTGGATGAAATTTGGCACAGCTCACTTATTTGGCGCAAGGACGAAGCCTATTGAAATTTGGAAAAATCGGTTCAGATTTAGATATAGCTCTCATATATATGTTTGTCCGATTGTATGTAAATAGTGTACGAAAGCCCATAGATTTCCCTGGATTTGCACGAAATTTGGCGTAGCATACTGAATTGAGTCTAGAGTGATGTGTGTTAATTTTCGTAAAATCGGTTCAGATTTAGATATAGCTCCTGTTTATTTCCTTAAAATAAATTCAAAATCTTATGAAAACTACCGACAGAAATTAAAGTATTAAAATATATTTGAATATGCATAATAAATTTGAATATGCATAATAAATGATATGTAATAAATGATATGTAATATTTATAGGTGTGTCTACATAATATGCGCTATATATGCAATATAATAATTTAGTTGTATATATGTAATTTCTAATATATCTTTATTGTTTTTTTATATTTCCAGTGATCAAGATTTTCATACGGCCGAGGAATATGAAGAACATCTACGAAATGTACTAACTTGAAATTAAAACCAAAACCAAAAAATATCAAATTTCAAATACTCTCATCATAAGTGAACTTCCAGAGGATACCAGTCAGAAGCATATTCATCAACATTCAACCAAATCATCAAACATCAGCGACGAATTCTTCTTCTAAATCAAGAGCTAACTAGAGCGAAACTAATCAGTAATTACTAATATTTTCAATGATTTTCGTAAAATAAACCGAATTCTGTTTTGCCACACCACATAAAAAGTATATTTTAAGTTTATATTTGTCTAAGGCATTGTTTATACCATTTGAGACCTCTCTACTCTATTTAAGAAAGTAACAATTTCAACAATAAACAACAAATATGATTTATTATTATTATTATTTTTTAATACATAATTTTGTTTATTTTTTTCTGCAACAACAAAATGTCTGCTCTAACGAAAAAAAACCAAACAGATGGAAAAAAATAACAATAATTAACAAAAAAAATGTTAGAAATAAACATAAGAAAACAACAATATTTTTTAACTAACAAAAATACATAAATTAATAAAAATAAAAAAAAAATACAAAAAAAAAACGAATATATTTCAAATTTGTAAGAAAATCACAAGTTTTTTTGTATATATTGTAATATTATAAGAAATGAACTGGCCGTATTGAAACGGTTATAAACTAAAAAACATACTTAACAACCAACAATCTCTTATTATGTGTAAATCAACCAAAAAAATATCAATAAATTAAAAACATAACATCACTAAAAATTGGCAACTCATCTACACAACACATTCAAAAATATCTACATCAAATATTTTCTTTTCTCTCAATAAAAAATAAGATATAAAGGAATTTGTTATTATCGGGTTCCATAGCTCAATGCTATTCAAATATGTATACAGTTTAAGTGGGTATGAACTGTGTGTGATCCTCGGAAAGAAAAATAATTCACATTAGGTATTCTACGAAATGTTGCTTTCTATAAAAGAATATTAAAAACCAGTGAGCGGAGCAGTATAGTCGGACGGGGCCGACCATACGATACCCTACACAACTTTCATGAAAATCTAACTATCTGTGGTTCTATATTCTGAGATTGGGCAATATTTCGCGATAGTTGCACACTTTTGACTGGCTAGAGGCCAGCAAATGTTACTAACAATCAGTACAGCACCTCTAACTTGTCCAGATTCCCTTCACCGTGGGTTGTGTTGTGATGTTCGGCTTTCGACTCGAATAGTACTAATAATTAAGTTTTCGGTCCACTTCATCCGAAAAATATTATCTGATCATCACCTAACATTTTAGGCGTTGTCCTTGACCATAACTGGAACCTCATGGAACATTTCAAAGCGATCAGCGCTGCAGTATAGTAATAGGTTACTAAATAACATATGAATACGGAAGCACCTGTAAATATTTAAGTGTAACTCGCGCATCCGAGTACCTACGACAATATAATTGGTATCAATTTAAAGGTCAACCACTCCTCTTGAATATACTATCAACTTCTCGGGTCTATGTCCTTCAGTCGTAAATATATAGACTATAGAATACAAATTTTGTCATTTTTCACACAAAAGTTAGGGTCCATTGGACCCGCTAAATATTGACCGATCTTTATCAAAACAGGCATGCTTATTCTTTGGCCCGATCCCCTTTTCCATGCGACCGGAAAAACCGACAAAAATAAAGTTTTTGGTCCATTTCATCCCTTAAATATTAACAGATCTTTTCCAAAAACAATAGGGGTCTTCATTGGCCAGAACCCATCCTACATGCAAAATTTCGTGAAGATTGGTCCATAACTGTGGCCTGTATCGTGTTTACAAATTATAATGGACAGACGGACGGACGGACACACATGTCTAGATCGACTCAGCTAGTCGAGATATGATGATCGGTATACTTAAAGGTGGGTCTAGGACCAATATTTCGCGGCGTTACAAACTTTTGGGGCTGCACAAAGCTATAATACCCTGGCAACATAGTTGTGTAGGGTATAAAAATTCCAACGATCAGATGCAAAGTTATAACATATAATTTTTTATATCTGAAATGTAATATAATATGATTGCTTTTGGATTGCATATGACACAGGGATTTGCTTCAATTGCTTTTAAGCATATGTAACATAAATGTAAATATATATGTATATATATATACAACATCATTTTGATTCAAAATTCGGGTTTTTATAAATTTAAATTAACAAATTTTCAATTTTGACCCTTTTGATTTTTTGATAGGTAGCTTGGGTAAAATATTAGTTTGGGCAAAGTTTTGAGCAAATCGGATAGTCCATTCGCATGATATTATAAAATTAAATATTAGCACAAGACTGACATACACTTCAAATTGTCTGAAAGAAACATGGGGTGTAAAACCAATTTTTATGGCCAAAATTGGACGATGTCACGGATTTGTATAACCTCAGTCATTTGGCTAATGACGGTATATACATTTTGCTACGGCAAAAATGTGCCTTATCGAAATATTGCTTTTAGACCCCATATTTCTTTGGACCAAATCCGTTTCAGACAATTTGGAGCTGATTTAAAAATTGCCATCTGTATGTCTGTCTTGTGCTAAAATTTAATATTTTTAATATCATGCGAATGGACAATCCGATTTGCTCCAAACTTTGCCCAAACAAATATTTTATCCAAGCTAGTACCTGCCCTCAAAGGGTCAATATTGAAAACTTGTTAATCTCATATGAAGCGAACGGAATATCCAATTTGATCGACATTGTGCACTTAATAATATGTTTACCTTAAATAGATCAAGTTCGAAGGTGGGATCCGTCGGTCGTCTCCTTCTTTTACCTCTCCCATAAAGGGTAAACTTTTTATAAACCAACAGCATTGTATTAGGTTGGGGAAGAAGAGATCCATTATTTTTTCGACAGATGATCATACTGATAGAATGTATCGATCAAACAATTTCAGATTTTTTTTTTGTGCATTCAGTTGTAGTTTACAGAGTGTTAAAAATTGAAGTGAACAAAGAGAAAATTCGGTACATTTTACAGTTTTTCTTTGATAAAGACGAAAATGCAAGCCAAGCGGTGAATGGTGTTTATGGTTCCGTTACTGTAACTGCCAATTATGTGCAATTTTGGTTTCGTAGATTCCGTTCAGGAATTTTGATGTTAAAGATGCACCTCGCACAGGTAGGCCGGTCGTCGAAAATGTCGATAAAATCGGAGAAATAATCGAAGTTAACTGGCATGTCAGCAGTCGTAATATCGCTATTACTATTTACAACAAAATATGTGGATTTCTTTTACCCCAAACAATATTTTTTTCACTTATCTCTTCATTATTTGGAAGAAAATGTTGCATTTTGAGTTGATTTTTCTTCAACCAAAAACAAACAATAAATTTGATAGAGGTCCTTAATTGAAATGGAGGAGTATCTCATTTTGGGATGATTCTATATACATATATTGCCAAATTTTATACCCTCCACCTTTGCAACACCTCCAAATATTCACCAGAGGCCCCATAAAGTACAAATTCTTGATCGGAATAAAATTCTATGTCTATTTATGCTTATCCGTCTGTATGTCCATCGATTTATGCGTGTTCGATGGAGATCGAAATATTTAAGATACAGCTCAGAAATTTTATACATACATTGCTAATACTCTGCACTTTGGGGATTAATACAAGAATTTTCAGAAAAAAAACATTGAAGTTATTTCTCAATTTCAGCCGAATTCCAACGAACAATTTACACATATAAAAACATATAAAAATTATGATATACTTTGCAGTTTATAGCAAGACCCTTCAACTAAATCGTAGGGTTCTATAAAAAGGAAATAATCTTTAACGAAAACCCAAAATGTTCAACGTAGTCACAAATCGTGAAAAAACACACAAAAAACTGGGTTGCAACACCCCGTTTTCAACCAGTTTTTACATTAAAGTAGACGCATCTTCCAATTATTCCAAAAATATTCAGTTTTTCTCACATACTTTTATATTTCCTCATATACTTTAACCCTTTGTGGGCCAATGTTGCCCATAGGCAACAAAAAATTTTGAGCTTGTATTTAATATGTAGCTAGTAGATAAATATACTTTGGATTTCATACGTCTAGACCTAATTATGGACAACACATATCAAACGAAAAATCTTAAAAATTTAAATTTTTGTTAAAGTTATGAGCTTTTCAATATAGAGAAGATGGCAAAAATGTGTACAGTACTAATTTGTATATACAGTCCAAAATATTTAAATCGCTTCGTATTCGAATTTTACGAATTCTGTCTTCAGAATTATTTTTGATTCTTGTAAAAACGAATATAGAGAATAATTTAAAATGGGGTTTCCCCCGATTTAGCATTTGTTTTTCTTGATATTGGTCTTTTACTTTTCAGAAAGAATGTACTGTATCTCCCGAATGTAGCGATGTCAAACTTTGTTCATATCCTACTTAGGATATTTGCATTAAATCTGTGAACAGAAAATTGTTCTATAATTACGGAAAAAAATCGGGGCACAAAGATTAATATACTTTAATATTTCGCGCTGAAGCTGAGGGTTCGCAATATGTTTAGGGTCCTTTAATTTGCGGTCAAAGGCAACATAACTCAAAATGTTGATCTACGACGATTTTGCTAATGTGTCCAAATGTGTTAAGCACAAATCCTTTATAAAGATAACAAAATAAATAGAAATGTATTTTTATTTAATTTAACGAGGATTACAAATATGCCATGCAAATGAATTAAACTGTATACAAAAGGATAAATCGCCATCAGTAGTGTTTCTATTAGACTTTGTATCATTTAGAGACAAAGGAAGGATGTTATGTTTTACCATGTCATATCATACATACATATTTCTAAAAAAAATTGTGTAATTATGAAATAAAACATATCTAAAATAAAAACAAAATTCATCAAACTATCCTACCCCGGTGTACCACATATCTTAAACATACTTTTCCACTGTGTAATCATTTGAAATACAAACACACTTACACGTACACATTAATTAATAATTAAGTGTA